AAAACCAACAAATCCTGTTTCCATTTAAGTCAATGGCAAAATTCCCATTTCAATGGATCAAAAAATGTGACCAATGGATGCTTACAACTGGGATTTTAAAAACATGCTTTTATCTCTTTTCTAAGCAAAACTGGGAAAATAAGAGAACTGCTCTTCCAGATGAAGGATTTGTGTAGGGATAGTTCCTTTGTTGCCCCAAAGGTCCAAGAGAAAATCTCATTATTATTATAGTAATTTTTGTAGAGCTCAGGACTGCACAATTTAATCTTAAAGCAAAGGTAAGTAGGTTTTACTTGACTGTGAAAGCTAAAGCATAGAAACAGACTAACAAATACATTTATCATGATTTATAATTTAGATTAAGTAAAATTTGCTACTCATTTCCCAAACCCAAAGGAAGTACAGACTATTCAGAAAGGAATTCAAGTTCTAAAATAGACAGCATCTATTTTGTCATGTGCTCTAGGTTTACCTGAATGGCAATAAGGAATGGAAAGGTTAAAGGTTTTGTAATTAAAACTGACAAACAGTGGAACACTACCTGAATGAAAATAAAAGAAACACCATCTGGAAATTATAATATTTCTCAGCGCATTAACAATGTTTGAAAGTAACATAAATAAAATTCAGTGCCACTCAAGTAATGTTAGTGGAAACCTGGAAATGCTAAAAATACTGTCAATGAATACTATGAAACTGGTGATTCTTCTAAAATGTCAAATATAGAGACATATGAGATAACTGCATTTAAATACTTGATCTATGAACCACTCTGTGCTGATCTTACAGTATTTGCTGTGTGCCTTCTTTTAATCGGAATTGTCTGAATACCTGGGTAATGTTATATATTCTGGAAACACTGCAATCCCTATTCAGAACAGCATGGTTTTATTCTAGAGACAAAATTTATTACTGTTTCAAAGAACAAGAAATATATATCTCATTATCCCCATATCACACTTTCCTTCATGTAGCATGAACAAATTGACATGAGCCCTATACCTAGAACTAGAAAGAACTAAGTTACCACCACATTAATATCTCCAGGAAAGCCACTCTGCTCAACACACTCTTCAGTTACTAAGCCTATTACCTTTGGCTCTGTATTTCAGTAAAGACAATGGTAATAGGCAGTGTCTGGTGAATGGCTAAAGGTTCATATATCCAATTTTAGACATAGTCAAGATTAGAAGGTTCTGTGAATTTACCTCAATTTGACACTCTTTGGTCAAATATCTTAACTGAAATCTCACAGAAACAATCTCTCCTGTCATTTCCTCCATTTAGTCAAACTAGAAATATTGTACCATGAGAATATATTTTCCTTAATCATGGACAAAATTGTAAAACACAGAAATGTAAATTTGGAGCTGCGGAAAAAATATTTCATGAAATGACATGCCGCTCCAGTGAGTCTCACATTTTGTGGCACACTGAACACTTAGGTTAGATTCCCAGGAAATTTTGTTGAAGTTGGCGAACATTTCCAATGACCCTGAGCCAATGCATAGAGAAATCCAGTGAAACTTGAAGGCTTATTGACAAAAACATAAGGCCCTATCTTTGTCCCCTTTACATCAATGGGACTTTCGCCCATTAATAATGGCCTTGTTACACAGCAATTTTGGGTGGCACCTGGAGCTCTTAACATCTGGATTGTCCACATATTGGGTGTTACATGTACACATTGGGTATACATGTACCTTTTAGTTCTCGGACATGCTGGAGATCCACCACTTCAGAGCAGACTCCATTAATCGATTAATCAAGTCTGCTCTGCACAGGAGCTGACACACAACATGCTGTGCCACTTGCAATTGCATAAGTGCCAAGATGAGCATCAGAGCAGAGAAAATGGTAGCGGTGAGCTTTTAAACTAAAGCGCCTCCTAAGTATTTTAGTTCAAAAGTGTACCGTCGCCATTTTCTTTACGCTGATGTGCATTTCACAACTTATACAACTGCAAGCTTTGCAGCACCAGGCACTTTTCAAAGTGCCTGGCGCTGTGGCACTTGCACGTGTAAAAATGCCCGTTAACACCTGAAACTAGATTTAAGCACTTATTAGGCAACTCGAAGTTGCACCACTGTAGGGCGGGATTCTCTCTGATCCACGCTACCCAGCTCATGTTACGTTAAGGTGTAGATATTTGGCTACATCTTAGTGTAAACACCCCACGTGTCCCCCTGCCCTGCTGGCCCAGATCAGGCCCGCTGCCCCTCCCCTTGCCCTCCCCAGGACCCCAGATCCCCGTTCACTGCCCCCCTGCCTCCTCCTGCTTACTTGTGGCTGCCCCCACTGTGTTCCTAAGGGAGCACCCAGGGAAGGGTTAACCTGCCCACCTGGCTGCTGGTCTCTGGATGGGTTCAGCCCTGAGAAGAGCAGTAGCCCCACAGTGGCAGCTGGGCAGGCAGGTTCACCCTTCCCTGCAAGCTCCACTGAGACAGACAGCTAGAAGCAGGTTGGGGAAGAGGGTAACCGGGGGAAGCCTGAGGGACAAGGGGGAAAGAAGGTGTGGGGAGGGGGGGATTCTTACTTCAAGCCAGAAGAGGCCTGGAGGACTGAAAGGTGTGACTGCTCCAAACTCAAGCTAGCACTCTAACACTTATCAGCATTTGTGCAGTTTACAAAGTAAGGTGTAACAAGGCCCTAAGTCACCCTGCTTACTCTAGTGGGATTGTCCTTACATTAGCACACTAGCATGAGCAAACATAGCAGAACTGGAACCCAAAGCACTTAAATGTAAGCAATTAAGCAAAGCAATTCACCAAAGCACTTAAGTGTATAAAGTTACACCTATTAAGTATTTTAAGAAATGTATTTTCTAAAGTCTAAGTGCTTTTTTTTTTGTTTTAATTAGATAAATATGTGAAAACTCTGGCACGTTGAAGTGCCAGGTTTCTTTTTCTCCTCTTAAATATATCAGGTCTTATTTGGATTTCAAACAGCCCAGAGTTTCAGAGATAGTAAGATTAAGGGTTATAGTTCATTATTCAAACCTGCTTAAATGCCCACATTGAGAATGCTTAGTGCTGGCTGTAGGAAATGTGTTGTTCACAGCCCACTAAGAAATGTGTGACCTCAGCAGGTCCTCCCTCCCCCTTTTTCACTTCACAATCAATGGTCAATAAACAGTTCTTTAGCTGTGGTGTTATGTTCCTCTAGATGCTGCTTTTGCCACTGTGGCTTGATCTTGTTTAAAAGACGATCTGTTTGATGATGATAAACTGACAGCAGTCATGAAAGCAGCAAGTCTGTAATGCCTTGTGGACAAAGCAGAGATGCCTGATGGCCTGTTGGATGGAATCAGAGTCTCAGGACGCTTCAATATATGGGAGATTAATTTGGTGAATTTAGCAATCTAAAATCTATACCATCAACTTTAAAATGAACCATATGTGACAGTTAAAAATATAACCAGGGTGCTGGCACAAACAAAACAGTGGGAGCTCTAGGGCTGAGGAAAAGCATGGGAAACAGAAAGCTTGCTGTTTTCCCATGCATGCTAACAGTTCCAATTATTTTTAAGCAAAAATGTTACTATTTTTCTGCTCTGCCTATTCCAAAAATGGTCATGTGGCCCAGCACATTTCAATAGTATTAAAGGTATTTTTTCTTAGCCATTTTCAGATGCTGACATCTGAAAGAAAAAATCTCTTTCGTTTCACTGTTTGATGCATTTCTAATGTAATGATTTTCACTGGCTTTCCTAGCAAGCCTCTCTTTCACTTATTTGATGTCCAATTCCCACATTTTCTTCTAAACATACCTTAGCATTGGAAGGTACCATTCTCTTACAGAACAATAATTCTCCTTCACCACCAGATCCCTTTGAAGAGATGGACACCATGCAGAACATTCAAATAAGAATCCAAACACACACTTAGGTATAGCTCACCAGAAAATCATGGATTGGGAAAGCAGCCAGAGTTAGAAATACTAAGTATATATTTGTTGTAGAAGTTATAAATCCTATAGTTTTTTTTTCCTGTATTACTCAGAAGTGTTACATTTTTAGTCAGATTATGAAACAAAATTAAATAAATTACAATATGTAATCTGCAGCCATACAAGGTACTCCTGACTGCAGATAGATGTCTGTAAAAGCAGTCTAATACTTTAGCATCCCTTGACACCAACCAGCCAGTGAAAAAAGTAAGAGTAATGGAAAAGTAGAAAAAACAAAGAGAGTCAATGTGGATAATAAATGTTTCCTTTTTCTCTGATAGTTAAGCAGGGGCTGAGGAGCTAAATGGAAAGTGGCAGTGCTCAGAGAATTGGCAAGTCAAATGAAATACTGTAACATGAAGCTTCTGATGCACCTGGAGTGATGAGAGAGCGTAAAGGAAAATGAGAACGAAGAAACCGGCATATGTATCTCCGTTATTATTTGCTTATGGCAACACTCAGGACAGACTCATGTCTAAGAACTGACAGATGGAGAGAGGTTGGGGGAAGAGGACTAATACATTGGGGTATATAAATATATGATAAGTAGATTAATTCTCAGTCACCTGGAAAAAAAGCAGGTCTTTAAGTGGCACTTCACCCATGGATAAACTGAGTCTTGCACTCAAACTATATGTGAGGTCATACCATGAGTAGAGAAGCTCACTGGGTGAACAAGGCAAAAATATATTGGCAGAAAGTTCTTCACCAACACAAATGCAGGGCACTGTTGTGCTCTGACAATAGATCTCCAAATGCCTGTTTTTTTCCTCTTCAATTCATTTAATCCACATTATATTTTTTAAAGCAATTTCATTTACCATCCAAATGATCCTGTATTCTGAGTACAGCATTGTAGCACCTCCCCTTCTTGATGTACTTTATGCATTTACTACTTGTGATCAAGGACCTTTCCAACTTACGGTTTTAAGTCTGCAATTTGACTGAATCCATTCCACATTTCTAAAAGGGCACAAGGCTAAGGCAAAGGCTGGGACAAACCTCCAGCCAATGCATATAACATGCTTTACTGATAATGAAATATAACTTACCCAGGTAGTTGTTGCTCTTTGACATCTCAGTGATGTTGATTTTAGTAGCACCTTCAGGAATTTCTACTATTTTATGGTAGCCGAGATTTGTTAGTGTATGCTTGAAAACTCCAGACACAACCTTACAAGCTGTGTTATCCCCTCCACATATTCCACATTTGTCCACCACTTTGTCGGAGCCCAGATAGTCATCACAGCCAATGCTCTGCAAAAATTAAAGAGGTAACTTTTTTCAGACCTTACAAATATTGTCTCATGAATTGCTTCAGAGAATTAATCAATATAGAACTGTCTTATATGACAGTTCAAACAGTTCACAGACCAAAAGACTTGAGCAATTCAATTTAGGACCTTGCTGTAGTCCAAGGGTGGCTACTCTGTGGCACGTGTTCCACAAATGGCATGAGCAGTCTCTGTCTGACATGTGGCTAGAGGAGAAGGTCAGGAAGACAAGGCTGATAGCAGAAAAGGACAACAGCAGATCAGCCCAAGAGAATAGGTCAGAAAGGGAAAAGCGGAGCAGCAGATCAGACAGAGGAAAGGGATCAGAGCGGCACTCAGATAGGGTGGAGAGCTAATTCGTGGCACTACTGCTATAAAGGTTGGTCCG